TTGTAGTTTGCGTGCGAATTTGGCCTACGTACTAATCTGCAGGCCTACCCAAAATTGCAAACCTGGCGCCGCTTCTGATGTAATGGTCAGTGTTTTGTTTTGATGGTTGACATTGAGTTCAACAAAGGATTACAAAGACATAATAAACAGCTCCACATATGTTTTTGATGTGGATATGAATATGTAAAATGGTTAAAATCTCTAAAAAGTCTATGTTGAATGATGAAGGCCCTTTGTTAACAATTTACTTGGAAAAAAATTGGCAAAACTAAAATATAAGTACATAAACCGATTAATCGATTAGTCGTAAAAATAATCGCCTGATTAATCGATTATCAAAATAATTTTTAGTTGCAGCCCTATGAATTGACGCGAACCCCAGGCGGGAGCGAAACTAGCTTCAGGCAGGAGTGAGGCGAGCTCCAGGCGAGGCGAGCTCCAGGCGAGAGCGAGGCGAGCTCCAGGCGAGAGCGAGGCAAGCTCCAGGCGAGAGCGAGGCAAGCTCCAGGCGAGAGCGAGGCAAGCTCCAGGCGGGCGAGGGGCAAAACTCATCCGTACGCAGCGTTTTGTAGAAGCCCTACGACAACGTTGTTCGGCTTTATAATGTAACAAATAAAGGCTTGCTGCTCTTTGGAAATCCACTGTTGTGTCTGGGCTAACGGCAACAGAGAAGCTCCTCCACCCGGCGTCAAGTGCGTCAGCAGCTTCAAGCACAAAGGCGTTCACACCGGACCCAGCGTCAAACAATGCGCGTCAAAAGCTTTTTGAAGATTTTGGTCTGAACGCTCCTTTAGGGAACTTTAAAGTCACTGAAAGTCCTCCTCTCTACTCTTAAGAGATCTCACCTTAGGAGCTCTCTTAAGAGCTAGGATTCTTCAGGAATAGCTTTTTTCTTAACCAAGATCTACTCTTCACTTTTAGTGGAAATTCTAAGAGTATGTCAAGATTCTAACAATATTCTAAGAATTTGGCCACTAGGAGCAACTCTTAGTGCTTAGAATCTTAAGGAATACGGCCCCAGTTATCTTCATCAGATACAACAACTACCGACTACTCTACACATCTTACGTAAATTATGTTCCAACTTATGATTATGTTAAACGAAAGAAAGAAATCGTAAAGTTAAGGAGAATCTGATTATATGAAAATGAGGTTTTACTAAAGTGAGTTTTTGATTGTATTTCAAATGAAGTAGATTTGCTATACTTAGGTACTGGACTGCTCCATACACACGTACGCACACAGAGATCGATGGGTACAGCCGTGGATCACAAAGCGACCTGTCGAAGCGTTGCACTCTCTGGACCAGGGGTGCTCAATACGTCGATCGCGATCTACCAGTCGATCGCAAAGGTAGTATTGGTAGATCGCATTAAATAAATAAAAAATTACACATTCTAAACGAATATATACAAAAAACTCCGGGCAAAGTGGAGATTTTTGAAAACTCCGTTAATGCATTTGTGTGTAGACAGAGATAACCAGAGTTTTGCGTTCTCGCACGCCACAGTACCCCCTTAAATTCCTCTGATCACTGAAGCATGGATCATACTACCTTAAAAACTGTTCGCTGTGAGATGCTCGCAGCAGCGAACATCCTCGCTCCACATCAGAGAGCAGCAAAGTGATCGCGGGGACTCACGCTCGAAAACAACCAAACCAGGACTAAACCAGGACTAAACCAGGACTAAACCAGGACTAAACCAGGACTAAACCAGGGCTGAGGACGGGGTCAGTGCTTGTAAACATACGTCTTTACTCTGAGTGTCTTCTATGACTGTAAAAGTGCCGTTACCGGCGTCTGCATCAAAGCTCCGCCCACTTCTGTGTTTTTCCCCAACGCAGGACAGGACGTAAGAGACGCACATGTTTGGAATGTTACGAATGTGATTGATAACGCAGATGTGTGGATGCAAATTATTTTATAAACTGTGGAGGGGAAATATTTGGATTTAAAAAAAACAGGCATGGCACATGGACATGGCACCACAGTCAAATGACATCTGTGTTTTACTCAGTAATGTTTTACTGACACTTAGGTGACTGCACATGCGCAAACAACCGCGCTCAGTGCAGGAAAGCAAAACCACGACAAACTTGTCAGCGAGTTGCCACCAATTTTCCGGACTATGCATCCCTGGCCGATTCAATTCAGTGCAAGTCATAAGAGTAAACTCGGGAAATGACAAAAAATGTACATAGGTAATTGTGTTGTGTTGTGCTATGCTCATGCGGTTTTGCATGTACATAATACAATACAATACAATACAATTTATTCTTGTATAGCCCTAGGTCACAACAGAAGTCATCTCAGAGGACTTAACAAAACCATTGAAATCACCAACACAGGTCAGAGAATCAACAGTTAAAACACATGAAGAATATAAAGCACACACAGAAGAAAATGTCCATACATGTTGTAGAATGCTAAAGTGTCCTGATCATCACCAATCCTTTCTGTTGGACACTAACTGTCCAACAAGACAGTCGGAGACATAAACATACATTGTAGATATAAAGAATATTTTTTGAAATATATGATTTGCATTTTTGTAGTAGGTAGATCATTTTGACTTGATCCTTTTATAAGTAGCTCGCATGCTGAAAAAGTGTGAGCACCCCTGCTCTGGACTATATGATGTGCGTCGATGAACCGCCATGCAGTGTTGATTTTGTTGACAAAATATTATTGTCATATTTTTTGTCACAAAAACGAAAACTAAAATAGAAGTAATTCATTGAGACGCAGACGATGACTAACTTGATTGACATTTTCGTCCACGGTTAAAAGACGAGATGAATAATGGACCATGACAAAATCAAATCAGAAGAACGGATTTATAAGAACAAAAGAGAAAACAACCAATCGACTGGTCAGAGTATATGCGAGAAGGAGAAGGGACTTGTCTTAAGGCACGTTCAGACCAAAAGCTTCAAAAAGCTTTTGACGCTCAGTCTTTTAATGCTGGGTCCGGTGTGGACACCTTTGTGCTTGACGCGCCTGATGCCGGTGGGAGAAGCTTCTCTGTTGCCGTTAGTCCAGACACAACGGTGGATTTCCAGAGAGCAGCGAGCCTTTATTTGTTATATAAAGCCAAACAACGTTGTCGTAGGGCTTCTACAAAACGTGTTCTGGGTTCACCACAGACTTTAGAAGCTGCAGTGTTTGCCGAGTTTCGCCATTTACTACACGAGCTGTGTACGGATGAGTTTCGCTTTCAGCTGTACTTCCGCATGTCACTGGCCCAGGACGAGTACCCGCCTCGCCCCCGCCTGGAGCTCGCCTCGCTCCCGCAGAGGAGCGCCTGTCCAGCAGTCTGCTGTGTCTGAGCCAGACTCAGCGTCAGCTTGTTCTTATATTAAATTAATTACTTGGATATTTATTGTGTTACTTATTAAGAACGTTACTACTCATAAAAATAATATTACTAATAACAATAAAACAGCAGCAGCTACAGACTTCTTTCCATGACAGACCCGCTGCTGCTGCTGCTGCTCCTCGTCTCCTGATTGGTTGAAGCCCAGCGTCAAGCTGCAAAAGCTCCGCTTTTCTCAACTTCGCAGTCGAGGTGTTTTTTGACACCGAAAGAGAAGCGAGTGTTACGCGCGTCAAAAGCTTCAAGTGACGCACGTAATGCACACGTAATTCAAAGCTTTTGACGTGCGTCAAGTGATGCCGGGCCTGACGCTTTTGAAGTCGAAGTTAAGTCCGCTTTTAAGACTAAATCTAAATCAGAATTTCTCCAGAATAAATAGAGAAGTAGAATCAATAAAATTGATCATTCTAAAAAGATAACAAAAGTAATAATCAGCTATAGCCCTTCAGGTCACAGCAGCAGAGATGGAGTAGCCTCTGGGTGGAGCAGGACGGGTCAGAGCAGCAGAGGTGGAGTAGCCTCTGGGTGGAGCAGGACGGGTCAGAGCAGCAGAGGTGGAGTAGCCTCTGGGTGGAGCAGGACGGGTCAGAGCAGCAGAGGTGGAGTAGCCTCTGGGTGGAGCAGGACGGGTCAGAGCAGCAGAGATGGAGTAGCCTCTGGTGGAGCAGGACGGGTCACAGCAGCACAGATGGAGTAGCCTCTGGGTGAAGCAGGATGGGTCACAGCAGCAGAGGTGGAGTAGCCTCTGGGTGGAGCAGGACAGGTCAAAAGGTGGAGTACCCGCTTGGTTCTGACCATTTTCTCTGCTCTAGTCCAAAGTAAAATGCTAAATGCTTCATTAACATTTTTCAAAAAGTCAGAATTCCTTCAGTGGATTTTTGGCTGATCCGCTTGGTTTGGACCATGAATCCTCTCTGCTCTGGTCTGGACCATAGACTGTATATATTAATGGACAGAGTCACACCTATCTCCGCCGTTCATAGGAGTTGGCCATGAAAAGTGCTTTCATGGAGCATTCCAAGATGGCCGCGAGTGGTCCCGCCCACAAGAAAATTGTGAAAAAACACATCTGCGCATGCGTCAGCCGGCGCGAGCTCCATTCATTTGAACGAGAGACTTCAAAAATTCCCAGTGAGTAAACTAGAGTGGACCAAAAAAAATTACCCACCTCAGCATTGACACACATGTGGAACGGAGCTTTGGGCCAAGAGCCAACTTTTGGTCCATCCTGTAAAGACGTTTTTGAGAGGTCTGCTAATGCTATATGTTAGCATTGGCTAATTCTTCTTCTGGGTCCACCCCCACAGGCCCGGAGTGGTATTGCAAGCATGTCAGCGCACGTCATTTTGGCCACTTTTGAGCTGGGACCCTCCCCCACTGGTCTGGACCAGTGCAAAACACTGTACTGCAGTAACATCTTAAGCAGAAAGAAGCAAGAAAAATAAAAATTGTTAAGCAGAAAACAACTGTTTTATAGCTACTTAGGAGTTGCAGCCGTTTCCCAGCGCATCTTTCAAAAAAGATGCACTTTCACAATGTTAATGTGTTTTCTAAAAAGATTGACCATTTGTAAAATTGGAAACTGATTCAAATGCGATGATTGTATTGTTTTTTTTCTTTCAGAAAGACGGCGGCTGTAATCACATGACCTGCTCTCGCTGTCGAAGGCATTTCTGCTGGAAGTGTCTGACCTTGTCTCCTGCTCCTGACCATTTCAGAGAAACATGCCCCTTATACCTCTATCCATAGCCTACTAGAGCCCACCAGAGCCCACCAGAGCCCACTATAGCCCATGAAATTCACTGGCCAGGTCATGTGGGCTGCACCCCCTTCCCACCTGGGAGCTGCTTCAGTCCTGCATTGCCTGGCCTCGGTCCTGGATATACAGCCTCAGTTCTGGAAACAGCCTCAACCCTAGATTTACAGCCTCAGTCCTGAATTTATGGACATTAAAGCTTAAAAGGCAAAAAAATGTAAAGGAGCTGATACTGCTTAATTCCCTGACATGTTTCAGCGGTATACTTCGCCTTTGTCAGAGAGGACACATAAAGGTGTCAGCTTTTGTTGCCGGATGCGGTCAGTCTGACGGATCTCACAGATCGGTCAGACTGGACAAGGTGAAAGCCCCTTCGTCTCTGTTGATGGTCTGTGCGCCCCGCTTCCTAATTTCAATTGCCTCTCTGGTAACAGTACGAACTGTAATATACAAATAAACATGCAATCAAGCCATAATGTTAAACCTGTTTATAACTGTACCGTATTGTTTGGGGTAGCGCCTGCTTAAAATATCACACTTTAAACGCATCTGGGTTTTGATGTTTAAATGTAACAGCAATATTGTTTATAATACTTTTCTCTTATTACTGCTGTATGGATTGGTTGATGTGTACCGAATGTTGTAGTCAAACTTGACACAGGAACCAGCTCCAATAGGGATAATGTTAATTGACCTTTGTTGGTGGTGCTGATGTGCCATTTTATTGTGTAATTGGAATGTTTTTAAAGATCTTATGACGGTTTTTTTTTTTTTTAAATAGTGGATATCAAAATTGCATGACAATGTCAATCTGAAAGAGATTCCGGCAAAAAAAATCCTATATTTTATAAAAAGAACGTGTTTTTTATGAATTTAAGTTGTCTATGCTCTAACCTGTGTGTGATGTCATAGCGGGTTACGCCCATGCTTTGAAAACCATGGATCTATGCCACAGGACTGCCTTTTCTCTCTTCTCGCCGCTGATGCCCAACACAATACTGTACTCTACAGGTGACAATTGCTCACTACACATAAATTGCCGTTTTGAGAGTGAAAAAGTGTCTGAGGTGGGATTTGAATCCAAGTATCTGGATTGGCAGTCCATCAACACAACCACTGGACTATCTCAGTGACAACAAAATGTAACATTCTAGTAGTTATATCACACTCGCTGTACACGGCCTTGTCATCTTGAATATCCGCGAAAAAAGAACGAATACCAAATTGTAAACAACTTACAGCGTTGAAACGTACCCACTCTGACGTCACCAAGGGCTGTGAAGTTTTTTCGTTTCTAAGGGCGTTGCTATGGGGTTATTTCGATTTGGGGGGATCAGACAAAAAAAACAACAACTGATTTTGAAACCTTTAGTAGTTCTCTTCTAATATAAAATGGTATTAAAACTGTATTTCTAAATAAATCAAACCCGTCATAAGGTCTTTAAGTTATCATTTTAATGTTGTAATATGTAATTCAAGTAATATGTGGCTAAAATATATTGTATTCACTGTTAGCTCCAGCCAGTCTTATGGGCAACGTGGGTTGTATGCGATGGGACCAGACTAGGCCTGGCTACTGTTTCTTTGATTGTTATGCTAAATACCAAATTTCTCATTGTGAGGCTGGTGCTAAGTATACTGGGTGCAGCTTTGACTGCCACCCCGCCCGACTCAGAAATGGATTAAGGGGAAGAAAATGGATGGATGGATGGAAGCTGTGAAGGTGTGTCTTATCTCTCGCTATACTGCTTCGCAGCCTAACTAACTTTAAGGCAGACATGCTCTGGAAGGAGGCTGAACTGGTGGTGCTCTTCCTCTTAAGACATGTTTCCTTGGAAAGATAACTGTCATGATATGAGGCAAGACACGCGTCGTGGTCTTCTTCAGAAAAGCCTTTATTGCACTACAGCATGGGGTAACGTCAGCCATGTGTCGGACTCAGTTCTCAACTGGAATTCTAGTGCCCCCTCCTGGTTAGCATACCCAACTACGGTAACATACAATGGACAAAAGACCATCTCACAACATCTCCCTCTTTCAATGTTAGCAGTAAGAGAACCCAACCATTCTTATTTATCTCAACAATATCAATATTAATTACTACTAAATTTTCCCTCAATCTCTTCATTGTTTAGTTTAGCTTTGAATTTTCAACTGCAATATAACAAAATAAACACTTTCCTGCACAAACTTTATGCATCAACTTTTTTTTATTCTTTTACAAACAGTCTCAGAACGATGCAGGACTTCACAGGGTAGACTGCCCTCGGCCCTGAAAGGGATTATTCTGCCCTTTTGAATCAGTCTTTAAATCTTAGAGGCACCCTTATCTCACGGCCTCTGGAAGTCGTCCTCACGGGTGTAGATGGTGCAAGGGGAGACGCACTGGAAGGGCCCACTGGCATCTGGCTAGCTGGTGGTTCAGGTGGCACAGTCACATCCGTCAGTGGGAACCCGCTGTCCTGCAGCGATGCTGTAGGCTGGGCACAAGGGTGCTCTGCAGGAGGTTCGGCCTCAGGAACAGACTGGAGATGACGCCTGTTCCGACGGGTCACGTTTCCATTCGCCATCTCCACAAGGTAGGATCTCGGCTCTTTGGATAAACTGATGACCCTGGCAGGTGTTGTCCATCCTTTCTCCCCATCGAGCTTCACTCTAACAGGCTGGCCAGGGCGAAGTTCAGGGAGCGCGCGAGCTGAATGCCTGCGGTCATAGAAGAACCTGTACGAACCCTTAGCCATTGCGTCCTTCATGTAAACATGGTCCGGGTTGAATGGACGTGGCAGCAATGCCTCTTCCAGGACAGGAACAGTGGTACGGATTTGTCTACCAGTCATGAGCTGTGCCGGACTTGCACCTGTAGCTGCGATCGGTGTAGAGCGATAACCCATAAGGGCCAAGCAGGGGTCAGGCTGTTTAAGGATGTACTTGGCAGTCTGAACAGCTCTCTCCGCAGCTCCGTTCGACTGTGGGTAATGTGGGCTGGAGGTAATGTGAGAAAAACCATACCTCCGCTTGAATTCTTTGAACTCCGCTGATGTGAACTGCGTTGCGTTGTCACTGACCAGTTCAAGCGGGATTCCCCACCTCACAAACATGCGTTTGAGCTTATTGATTACCTGCCTGCTTGTAATGGTGGTGAGGGAAGAAATTTCAATGTCTCTGGAAAAATAATCGACAGCAACAAGATAGGACTTACCCTCTAACTCAAACAGGTCAACAGCAATCCTTTGCCATGGGCCACTAGGTAGGGGAGTGGTTACCAGTGGTTCACGTCTCTGCGTTGGTTTGTGTTCTTTGCAAAAGTCACATGAATTCACTTTGTTTGTGATCTGTGTCCCGATGTTTGGCCACCAAACAGTCAGCTTGGCTCGCTCGCGACTCTTTGTGAGGCCCTGGTGGCCCTCATGCAGTTGGTCCAGAACATCATCTCTAAGCACCGCTGGAACTACTATGCGGTCGTGGTATAGGACTAGACCGTCAGACTCTGATAAGTGACCTCTGGCCGCATAGTATCCGCGCAGTGGTGAGTCCCCAGCTATTTTGCAAGGCCACCTTTTCTTATGAATGTGATTACTTTTTGAAGGTCATCATCGCTTTGTGTGGCTCTGCGAATTTCCTCAAGCTTGGGTGACTTTATTGGTTTGCTAGCTACTATAGTGTTCACGTATGCCTTTACTTGTGTTTCCGTTTCAGGCACATAACTATTTTCCAATGGATGCCTAGAGAGCGTGTCTGCGACTACTACTAGCTGCTTACCGGGAACATGTTCAGCAGTAACATTTTTTTTTTTATAATTAAATTTTTATTAAGAAGAACACAAGATCGGTCAGACAAATTAAAGAATGAACAAAAATGAGGCTCTCCCTTTTTCCTTTTTAAACCCCCTCTCTTTTCCCTCTCCCTCCCTCCCCTCCCCCCCCCAGCCCCCCCGCCCACCCCCGCCACCAACAGAGTATTCCACGTACAGTGATGCTATTACATTACAAAGCGTCAAATTACATTACAAAGCGTCAGAAGAGTACTTTAAGATTTTCAATTAGTTGTGACCACAAGTCAGTTGTATTGGATGACATATTGTTGATCCTCGCCGAAGAAATTTCCATATAAGCAATGTCCATATAACAATGAAGCCAGTGAGTGAATGAAACATCGTTACTTTTCCACCTTTGCGCAATGATCTTCTTGGCTGCTGTGAGGCCTGCGAGCCAGATTTTGCACTGTCTTCCCGTGAGCCTTATACTTGAGTTATCGTTCAAAAGATGTATAGCGGGTTCCATTGGTAGGGCAACCTTCGTTAGTGTACTGATGCAGCTAACTACTTTACCCCAGAGCTCCTGAACTGCTGGGCATACCCATACAACGTGCATGAAGGAGCCTATGGTCCCTGGGGGACAAAATGAACAATAAGGATCAGGTGCCGCCCCCATTCTATGTCTCATAACAGGGGTTAGGTATGCCCTATGGCAATATTTCAAATGTATATAGCAGTGATTAGAATTCTTTGAGGCTTTCCCAATATTATGCCAAATTCTCTCCCAGTCAAGAATACAAGTATCATTCGAAATGTCCTGTTCCCAAGCCTTCATTCCCATTGAGGGCACCATATTTTGATTTGATAATTGATTGTAAATATATGACACTATCCTTTTTGGAGCTTTCTGTAAGAGTTCAGTAACAGGGTGATCGCTTAGTTCCGATCCCCAGGGAATTCCATAGGCTTTACATGCTGATCTTATTCTGAAATAGAAAAATAAAGTGTGTTTATCAATGTTGTATTTTGATACCAACTCTTGAAAACTAAGGATAGATTCTCCCCCATTAATGTCTTGCAGTACTCTAATACCCTTGTTATTCCACTCCTTATTTGTAAATGGCCTCCCCCCTGAGAGGAGGTTTGTGTTGAACCACAAAGGCGATAATTTATGCCACTTTTGTTTGTGCTTTAGATATCTTTCCACTGCTCTAAATACAACCAACATATATGATAAAATTGGGCCGTACCGCAAATTACATTTCTTAATTGATAATCCCAGAAAAAGAAAGTCTCTCAGCTGCAGTGGCTCAATAAGATTACCTTCAATGGACTTCCATGCTGATTCTTTGTTATCATTTAACCAATAGGACAAACTCCTCAGCACAAAAGCCCAGTGATAAAGTTTAAAATTGGGACATGCACATCCACCAATTGATCGTTTTCTCTGTAACACTGACCACTTAATAGCAGGGCGCTTGCCATTCCAAATATATTTACGGATTAAAGAGTCAAGTTTTTGCCAAAAACCAGTAGGAGGTGGCAGAGGAATCATGGAGCTTACAAAATTTATTCTAGGTAAAATGTTCATTTTAACAGCCGCTATTCGGGCTGGTACCGAAGCTGGTAAGTGCGTCCACCTACCAATGTCCTCTTCAATTTTCTTTAGGACAGATAGGTAGCTATTTTTTGCAGTCAGTGTTATATTAGGTGTGACCCGAATGCCCAAGTAAGTCACCTCCGTAACTGTGGCTACCTCAGGAGGAAGAGTTACCTCTTTTACATCAATATTTACTAACATTAAAACCGATTTGGAATAATTAACCTTGTAGCCAGAGAGATAGCCGAAATATTCAAGCTTTTTCAACACAACAGGAAGAGAGTCCCGAATATCAGCCATGTAAATCAGTGTATCGTCGGCGTATAGTGATACAGAGTGTGAGGATGAACCAATAGTGATAGGAGATATTTGTGGACAGTCCCTAATTAATTGTGCCAATGGCTCAATAGACAAATTGAATACCAAAGGAGATAATGGGTCGCCCTGCCTACTCCCTCTTTCAATTTGAAATAATTCAGAAAAAATACCTCCGGTACATATTCTCGCTGATGGATTTGAGTACAGGGTCTGTATCATACCAATAAATGCGTCCCCAAATTTAAACTCTTTAAGTACTCTCCACAGATATGTCCATTCTAGGCGATCAAACGCCTTTTCAGCATCCAAGAATAACAATCCACAGGCTGGCGGAATCTTATGTGATGAGCCGAGTACATGAAGCAGGCGCCGAACATTATCAGAAGGAAATCGCCCTTTCAAAAAGCCAGTTTGATCAGGATTAATAATTTTCCCTATCACCTGTTCCATCCTGTTGGCCAAAACTTTAGAGAATATTTTTAAATCAGCATTGATCAATGAGATTGGTCTATAATTTGCACATTCAAGATGATCCTTCCCTGGTTTTGGAATTACAGTTATTAGGGCAGTGTTGAGGTCCCGATGGAATGAGCCTCTATGAATAGCATCATTTATTGCTTCAAGCCACATTGGACCGAGAAGATCCCAGAGTTTTAAATACAGCTCAATTGGAATCCCATCAATTCCTGGTGTACGGCCTGTCTTAGTACTTTTAACTGCCTTTAACAGCTCCTCTAGTGTTATTGGTTGATCAAGATTCTCTGCCTCAATTGCTGTCAAAGCTGGAAGATTAAGACCAGCAAAAAAGTCATCCAGATCCTCCTCTGAAGGTTTTCCGTCACTAGTATACAGCTTTTTAAAATATTCTTTAAAAGTTTTATTTATATCCTCAGTAGAGGTTAACAACCCTTTTTGAGTACATCTAATGGCTGAAATGGCACTCTTGGCCTCCTGCTGTTTTAAAGTAAGAGCTAGAAGATGACTTGGCTTACTACCCTCTGAATAATATTTAGATCTCGTCACCTGCATCATATACTCAACCCTATTTCTCAGTAGGTCATTTAACTCCGCCTGCTTGGTTTTAAGGGTATTTATTTTGGATGTATTATAAACTTTTTTAAGGTCTTTTTCCAAAATCCTACATTCAATTTCCAAATCTGAAATCTTTTGTAATCTCCGTCTGTGCAGATTTGAGCTAAATTGTATTGATATGTTACGAATACTACCCTTAACTGATGCCCATATTAGCGTCTTGTCTGCAATAGTGCCCTTATTCAGAGCAATAAATTCTGTTAATTGGGCCCGTATTTGTTTCAAAAATTCTTCGCACTTTAAAAGAGTAGTATTAAATCTCCATCTACTATTCCTGTTCTTAATCATTGTGTAGTTAAAGGTTGATATTATTGGATTGTGATCCGATATGTACCTCGGTAGAATGTCTATCGCACCAATTGCCGGGAGAAGACTAGAAGACACCATAATATAGTCAATACGGGAAAACGTTTTATGCCTATCTGAGTAAAAGGTGTAATCCCTAGCCGATGGGTTATGTATCCTCCAAACATCCTTTATGTTTAAGTCTGTCATAAAACGATTAAGCGCCTTTGAAGCAGCATCTTGGGAGCCGGAGAATATGGAAGTTGTTTTATCAAGGTACATATTGACCTGGGCATTCATGTCAGACCCCACATACAACTGGTAGCCAGAAAGTGTCAGCAATCTTTTTGTTATGGAAGGGAAAAAGTCACTTTCAAAGGTATTTGGCGCATACAAGCTAACAAGTGCAATCTTTTTACCCTGAGCGGACACACAACAGTATGACATTCTACCTGCTTCGTCCGAGCCGCTCTTCTCAATTAGCAAATTCAAATTCCGTTTCATAATTATCATGACTCCTTTAGTACGCGTACCATCAGATGACCACGCAACAGGCTTGTATAATCTATTTTGCATTCTAACCACATCACTCGGCCTCAAATGGGTTTCCTGAAACATTGCTATATCTACTTTCTTTCTGTTGAGAAAATCTAAAACCTTGGATCTTTTATAGGGAGAGTTTAAGCCTTTAACATTAAAAGACATAATTTTGAAAGATTTCGGTGTAGTAGCATCAATACATTTAAAAACGTTACGCTCATTGTTGGTAGCAGCAGCCCCCTCTCCCACCCCATCCCTCTGTGCCCCCTCTCTCACCCCCTCCCTCTGTCCCCCCCCCCTTTCCCCATCACCCTCCTGTTGCATCCGTGAGCGTCACTCGGCAACGTCACACGCCAGCCTCCGAACCCACCCCCCTCTTGTATACACTAAACAACAACCCGAACTAGTACCTCAACCCAGCTCCGTCATATAATACTACAAGCGCATTGTTTATCTGAACCGTACAAATGTAATAATGATAATAACTCAAATATAACAGTTGTCCCTTACAAACTCGAGCTAGTGTGTACATCAGATAAACCTGAGAGACAATATAAATGATCTGGATTTTTTTTTTTTTTTTTTAATTTTAACTTACTATCCCGGTCTGGTCATTTACCACGTAAAAATAAAACGGTTCCTACCCGTAAAATAAAAGAAACCAGGAGCCACCTTTCATCAAATAAAAAACAAAAACAAAACAAAAGGCCAAAATAGTCCAACATTTGTGAGCAAGAACAATTCCAAACCTGCTTCTTTGCAGTAGGTCATTTCACCCAGAGTCAGAGTCAACATGTTGTTCTTCCAAGCGCTCGCCTTCTCCATCCTCCCGTAGTGCAGCGGCCAGCGCTTCCTCGGCTTGCCCGGGCGTTTCAAACGACATCTTCCTGCCCTTGTATTTCACCTTCAGGGTTGCAGGGTAGACTAGGAAGGTTTCGATGCCTTTCTTCCGAAGCCTGGCTCGAACATCATTATACTCTCGCCGTCTCTTACTTGTCGCGGTGCTGTAGTCTGCGTAAAACCACAGCGGAGTGCCAGCTGGGAGACTCGGTTTGGCTTTTCTTGCTCCTTCAAGTATAGCCTGTCGGTCAGTGTAACGAAGAAGACGGAATATCATGGTCTGGGTCTTCGTAGTGCTATTGGAGTAGATCCGATGAGCTCTGTCAATTTCCACTTGTGACCCGCGGAGAGACGGGATCCAGGTGGGGAGCATCTTCTGAATATACCCCCGCGGGTCCCCACCCTCCGCTCCAGTTGGTAAGTTTACCAGCCGCACATTGTTTCTTCTGGCTCGATCCTCTTGCTCAGTCAAGTTCTCACGCAGTTTTTTTATCTCCTCCCAACAGCGCGCAGTATCAGTCTCGTTCTTTCTGAGGTTAGCTTGAATGCTATCTACTTTATTGAAGACTGTAGTGAACTTTTTAGCATGAGTGTCCATCTGTTCGCTCAGTGACCGCAGAATGTTGCTGTTTTCGGTCAATGTCTTCTCAATGGGGGCAAGGGACTCCTTAATAGAATCCTTGATCAGCTTACTGGCGTTCTCATGAAAGGTCATTTCGTCAGCAAGTGTTGTCTTGATTAGCACAGCTAGCTCCTCCGTTAGCTCAGGGGCTGAGAGGCGCGCGGAACTTTTGCTGTTGCCCGCCTCTTGTTTTTTCCCCAAACCTTGTTCTCTTCTTGTTGACATTGTAAGAGAACTCAGAGCGCACCTCCAGACAGTTAAAAACGTTATCGGGTTTTGTTAAAATATATCAACTCAATACGGGGTTGCACGGAGCTCAGCGCGTCGCTGCCATCTTGCCTCGTCGTCGTACTCAATCGACAGTCCCGGTCGATCCGTCATGTAAAATACAACATAAAAGCATCCTGCGAATTATTTATGGATAACCAGGTTTAAGTTTACAAGTCAATCTGCCCATTGGTTAGTTGGCTCTGTGAAGAGTCAAATGAGTGAGATCCCTAATGCAAGGCAGCCCCAGGTAAACACTGGTAGGAACTAGATTAAATATATTGCAGTTTTACTATCAAAGAGGGATATCCGAGAAGAGACGCAGAGAGAGAGGTCCGAAAGGAGAACCAGGAAGAGAATAAACAGAGAGATTGAGCAGAGCGAGAAGAGCAAGAGAGAGGTCCTGAAAGAGAGACCAGGAAGAGAAAACCAGAGAGAAAGAGCAGGAGAGAGAGGAGCAGAGAGAGAGGTCCCGAAAGAGAGACCCAGGAAGAGAAAAACAGAGAGAAAGAGCAGAGCGAGAAAGACCAGAGCGAGGAGGTCAGAAAGAGAGTTAGACCAGAGAAAGAGATAAACAGAAGAGAAGAGCAGAGCAGAGAGCAGGATGAGAAAGAACAGATGCAGAGAAACCAGAAGAAACCTTTTTTTGAGAGCAACGAACTAGAGAAAGTTGTTATGACTTTGTTCCATGGGTGTGTAGAATTAGGTACCCCCAGCATTAGGTAGAAGAGTCTAATAATAATATAATAGAGAAAGAGGAGATGGATGAACATAACCAGGATAGGTTGGTGGGAGGAGACCACGGTAGATCCGGTTAGTGGAAGGGTGTTTCCAGAGTTGTTTGTTTCATGTAAGCGACTAGAGGGTTGACAGCGCTGAAAAACAGAAAAACACAGATGTCGCAGCAACTTTTGTAAGAAATAATAGCAAAGGTCAAAATCTGCAAGAAAATGCTTAAAAACTAATACCTCCAGCAGGTGGCGAGTCCACAGGAGGACGCTCGGCTGCAGCGGGGGTTGAAAGGAGTTCAAGGTCCGTACCAAGTGGATCATGTTAGCATTTTTACTTTGGACCAGAGCAGGAGGAAATGGTCCCTGGAACCAAACTCCGCCTCCGCCGCAGCTGCTGGACCTGAATGGATCTGTTGTGAACCATTACTACTGTTAGATACTTTTAGAAGGAATCATGTATTATTTGTATCTGTCCTCACTCGTGGGCTCGTCTCTCTCGTCTCTCTCGCTCTCTGGTCTCACTCTCTCTCTCCCTCTGGGCGCTCCTCCCTCTGGTGTCTCTCTCCCTCTGGTCTCTCCTCCCTCGGTGTCTCTCTCCCTCTGGTCTCTCTCTCCTCTGGTCTCTCTCGCTCCTCTGGTCTCTCTCTCGGCTCTGGTCTCTCTCATCCCTCTGGTCTCTCTCTCCCTCTGGTCTCTCCTCTCTCCACTCTGGTCTCACTCTCTCTCTCTCGGTCTCTCTCCTCCCTCTGGTCTCTCTCATCCCTCTGGTCTCTCTCCCTCTGGTCTCTCTCCTCTCTGGTCTCTCCCTCTGGGCTCTCTCCTCGGTCTCTCTCTCCCTCTGGTCTCTCTCCCTCTGTCTCTCTCCCTCGTTCTCTCTCCCTCTGGTGCTCTCTCTCTCCTCTCTGGTCTCTCCCTCTCGCTCTCTCTCCTCTGGTCTCCCTCTGGTCCTCCCTCCTCTGGTGTCTCCTCTCTCTGGTGCTCCCTCTCTGGTGCTCCCTCTCTCTGGTTTCTCCCTCTCTCTGGTGTCTCCCTCTCTCTGGTGTCCCCCCTCTCTCTGGCTGTCCTCCCTCTCTCTGTGTCTCCCTCTCTCTGGTGTCCTCCCTCTCTGGTTCTCCCGTCTCTGGTCTCTAGCTCTGGTCTCTCTCTCTCTGGTCTCTCTCTCTCTGGTCTCTCTCTCTCTGGTCTCTCTCTCTCTGGTCTCTCTCTCTCTCTGGGTCTCTCTCTCTCTCCGGTCTCTCTCTCTCTCTCCGGTCTCTCTCTCTCTGGTCTCCTCTCTCTGGTCTCCCTCTCTCTGGGTCTCTCTCTCTGGTCTCTCTCTCTCCGGTCTCTCTTCTCTCCGGTCTCTCTCTCTCCGGTCTCTCTCTCTCCGGTCTCTCTCTCTCTGGTCTCTCTCTCTCTGGTCTCTCTCTCTCTGGTCTCTCTCTCTCTGGTCTCTCTCTCTCTGGTCTCTCTCTCTCCGGTCTCTCTCTCCGGTCTCTCTCTCTCTGGTCTCTCTCTCTGGTCTCTCTCTCTCTGGTCTCCCTCTCTCTGGTCTCCCTCTCTCTGGTCCTCCCTCTCTCTGGTCTCTCTCTCTCTGGTCTCTCTCTCTCTGGTCTCTCTCTCTCTGGTCTCTCTCTCTCTGGTCTCTCTCTCTCTGGTCTCTCTCTCTCCGGTCTCTCTCTCTCTCCGGTCTCTCTCTCGCCGGTCTCTCTCTCTCTGGTCTCTCTCTCTCTGGTCTCCCTCTCTCTGGTCTCTCTCTCTCTGGTCTCTCTCTCTCTGGTCTCTCTCTCTCTCTGGTCTCTCTCTCTCTGGTCTCTCTCTCTCCGGTCTCTCTCTCTCTGGTCTCTCTCTCTCTGGTCTCTCTCTCTCTGGTCTCCCTCTCTCTGGTCTCTCTCTCTCTGGTCTCCCTCTCTCTGGTCTCCCTCTCTCTGGTCTCTCTCTCTCTCTGGTCTCTCTCTCTCTGGTCTCTCTCTCTCCGGTCTCTCTCTCTCCGGTCTCTCTCTCTCTGGTCTCTCTCTCTCTGGTCTCTCTCTCTCTGGTCTCTCTCTCTCTGGTCTCTCTCTCTGGGCTGTCTCTCTATGTGGAACACACTGGGTACTTCTGAACATGTATTCCAGTGTGGTTTTGAATCTGATTGGACTCTCTTGAGGAAATGGGTAGAGTCTGCTGTGCTCCTGTTGGGTTGGACTGAAGACCTGCAGCCACTCGTCGCTCCGAGACCTACCTGTGTGTGTGGTCTGACCTGTTGAGGCGCTCGCAGGACGAGGCGGTGTGGATGGGGGAGGAGCTGGCCGCGCTGCTGGGTGAGGCCGGGTGCTCAGGGGAGAACTGGGCAGGTCCTGGTCTCTCGGTCCCTCGCTCGGCTCCGGGAGGCTGCCGATCCCGGTGGACGTGCTTCCAATCGAGTGGTTCCTGCGGTGGCCGAGCTCCGTGATGCTGGAGGAGCGAGAGTGGCCCGTACTGTAGCCTGGAAGGGACAAAAAGGCAAACAGGCTTCACAAACAGCAACACAGAGGAGGAAGTCTGGGTCTCCTGCTGGTCCAGATATGAACAGGACATACGTAGGCTAAAGGCAGTAAATCTGGTCCGTCAAATGATGCGTCCATATGAAATAAATATCTCTGTGGCCTCCCTCTGTGGCCTCTCTCTGTGGCCTCCCTCTGTGGCCTCCCTCTGTGGCCTCCCTCTGTGGCCTCCCTCTGTGGCCTCCCTCTGTGGCCTCCCTCTGTGGCCTCCCTCTGTGGCCTCCCTCTGTGGCCTCCCTCTGTGGCCTCCCTCTGTGGCCTCCCTCTGTGGCCTCCCTCTGTGGCCTCCCTCTGTGGCCTCCCTCTGTGGCCTCCCTCTGTGGCCTCCCTCTGTGGCCTCCCTCTGTGGCCTCCCTCTCTGGCCTCCCTCTCTGGCCTCCCTCTCTGGCCTCCCTCTCTGGCCTCCCTCTCTGGCCTCCCTCTCTGGCCTCCCTCTCTGGCCTCCCTCTCTGGCCTCCCTCTCTGGCCTCCCTCTCTGGCCTCCCTCTCTGGCCTCCCTCTCTGGCCTCCCTCTCTGGCCTCCCTCTCTGGCCTCCTTCTCTGGCCTCCCTCTCTGGCCTCCCTCTCTGGCCTCCCTCTCTGGCCTCCCTCTCTGGCCTCCCTCTCTGGCCTCCCTCTCTGGCCTCCCTCTCTGGCCTCCCTCTCTGGCCTCCCTCTCTGGCCTCCCTCTCTGGCCTCCCTCTCTGGCCTCCCTCTCTGGCCTCCCTCTCTGGCCTCCCTCTCTGGCCTCCCTCTCTGGCCTCCCTCTCTGGCCTCCCTCTCTGGCCTCCCTCTCTGGCGTCCCTCTCTGGCGTCCCTCTCTGGCCTCCCTCTGTGGCCTCCCTCTCTGGCCTCCCTCTCTGGCCTCCCTCTCTGGCCTCCCTCTCTGGCCTCCCTCTCTGGCCTCCCTCTCTGGCCTCCCTCTCTGGCCTCCCTCTCTGGCCTCCCTCCTTTTTAGAACACATCACCCCTGTCATAAACCAGGGAGCAGTGAGTTGTAATGCAATAAAACGTTTTGGCCGTTTAGCCATTAGTCATAAAAGTTACTTGATTCTCAAGTTTTGACTCAGCTCTGGCTTTTCTGTGATACAGAATATCAACATCCGCTTAAGTGGAAATCGTGGCAGTGGCAAAAAGCAGTTTGAATACTATCGTTATTGCAGTATTTCTCTGAAGCTGTTGCACTTTAACACATAAGGAGTGTCTTTGTGCGTTGTGGGAATGATGATGCAATCAATGCTGTGACTCTGAGCCCTGTGGCAGAAAAAACCCGTCTATCCCATGATCTCATGTGTTTCTTAAAGCTGGGGTACCCAACTTCATATCCATAAATACTACATTAGTAGTAATTTGTCCTTACAGAAGGATTCAGGTTAATGAAAGATATTGAGAATAAATTCCCCTCAGAGTCCCAGCAGAAGGCCAGTCCCTGTGCTCCTGAAGAGTCCCAGCAGGAGGCCAGTCCCTGTGCTCCTGAAGAGTCCCAGCAGGAGGCCAGTCCCTGTGCTCCTGAAGAGTCCCAGCAGGAGGCCAGTCCCTGTGCTCCTCAGAGTCCCAAATGCAAAACAAAAGACAAAATGCAGGAGAGGAATCTCGTAGTCTGCTCTCACCACAAAAAGCTCTCATTACAATTACAGTTACAGTTACAGTCATCTGAACCCACAGAAGTGGAAACTCGATGATTCACTTTGCTTTAAACACATTTCCGTTGCTCCATGCATTACTGCAGAGAGAAGCTTAGAACAATCTCCCATTTCAGACACTAAGACCCGCCAGTTTGTTCCGCGTTGATGTCGGCCTCAATCCAAATGTGCTGCAAAGGTTAAAATGAGCACATCACCCATGTTCTGATGCCCTTCACAGGTTTTCAATTGAGTTTTGCACAGATTTTTTTAATTCTTCTTTTAACGTTTAAATGTGTTAATGGACTGACATCAAGCGACCTGCGAGATCTGCAGCAGCCTCAAGATTTGTATAAACCAAGGCATTTATCTGAGCAGTGTCTCCAGTGTTAGACTCCAGCTGTAACAGCTGTTCTCTGAAGAATATTCAAAACACTGCAGTTCGAGTCCTGGCTAGAACCAGGAAGTACCATCACATTAGTCCTAGTCTCAGGTCTCTGCTTCCTGTGGCTCAGAGAATAGACTTTAAAGGAGCTCCGTTTGTGTCTCTGAGGAGCACAGAGACTGGCCTCCTGTTGCTGCCCAAACATGGAGAGGCAGCGTTTCAGATTCCTGAAAATGTGAGACAGGCTTCTTCTCTGACAATGTTCAAATCCAGGTTAAAAACCGTTCTGTTTCTCTGCAACAATCGAAGGATTGAATCTTTTTAATGCACTGTGATTATTTATGATGTGAATGTCTTGTGTGATTGATTTGCCTTGTGTATGAACTGTGCTGTACAAATAAACTTGCCTTGCGTGTCATACATTTGAATAAATAAGTATTTTTATTACTTTCACCTGAGACTTTGGATTGTTGGCTGGCGTAGCTGGAGGTGCGAGAGTGACCACATCCTCCCAGGTCATCAGACACCACTGGGCACTTCCCCTCTCGACTTTCTGAACAAACTAAAACAAAGAAAAACATGGAGCATTCTGCAAAGATTCACCAACTCTAAGATTTAAACCATTTTCAAAAACACTGAGATCTGAGAGAGACCAGAGGGAGACCATAGTGAAAGACCATGGAGAGAGAGACCAAAGAGAGACCATAGAGAGACCAGAAAGAAAGACCATGGAGAGAGAGAGACCATAGAGAAAAACCATAAAGAGAGACCAGAGATAATGCATATCAAAAGGATTAATGAATCCAGGTTTAGATTTATCCATGAAACATTTGCCAACAGTTTCAGAGAGCAGCAAGACGCCGCTCCCTGGAGAATTATGCAAATTCAATCTCAACGCATCATCACAAGAATAGATCCTCGTTTCTGCTGCGAAGGGGTAATAAATGTCTCCGAACTGGGTTGGACGCGTCTCCGTGGCAACAGACGACGAACAAAGGAACGTGACAACCAAAACAAAAGCTGTCAACACAAACTGATGCGGCTGGCACTTACTGTCAAAACATCAATCCACAAAATGGAAAAACTCCAAAAAACAGATCTTTGCTTTGACATTACAAGTTGTTCCATCATCACGAACAGACCTGGAGTTGTTTTTAGCCGCATTAAGGCTGGGTACTCATCAGAACCTGCCGATGTTGAGCTGGACACAGAGGACTTTTGATTGTAAATATTGTATTTATGAACCTGGTATTTATAGTCCTGGTCGCGTGTCAGTGTGCTGCTCCAGGCTTCTACCACGGGCACGCATCTGAAATATTTCCTATGTGCCGCGGGGGAAAGCGGAGAGGCGCAAGGTACAGAAGGCGGAAAAAACAAAAGCAAAGCAGTCGCAGCCCGTCGTTACAAGTACTAAGAGAGAGAGAGAGAGAGAGACAGACAGAGACAGACCATAGAGAACTAGACCAGAGAAAGAGAGACAGTAGAGAGAGTGCAGAGAGCCAGCAGGAAGAGAGACCAGAGAGAGAGACCAGAAAGAGAGACCAGAGAGAGAGACCAGAGAAAGAGATCAGAGAGAGAGACCAGACAAAGGGACCAGAAAGGGACCAGAGAGACAGCAGAGAGAGAAAGACCAGGGAGAGAAAGAGACAAGAGAGCGGAGAGAGAGATCAGAGAAAGAGACCAGAGAGAGACACAACTCAATTCCATATCACCAACATTATTTTGAGAAACTGACTGAAAACATGAACCAAAGCCTTTATTTGACATTTCAAGTAATTTCTTCTGTGTTTCTACAAACTGTTAAAATGAAAAGCAAGAGCAGAGATTGAGAAGCTGATATTAGACAATCCAAAAACTCCATGAGAATTCAGTCTGTGTTTGTCTGGGAACAATGCAACATGGGAAAAAGGTCAAAAAAGTAGATTTAGCAGAATATGCCTCTTAAAACTGAGCCCTAATCCACAGAAGCTTAATCTGCTGATCGCTTACATCACTGAGGTCAGAGCCGCTCTGCCCTGAGTCAAGGACAATGATGTTTGTATCACTGCAGACTTTAAATCTGTGTTTCATGAAGTGCTACACACACATTATTACACTATATGTATTTAGCTTGTTTTTGGTTTTGTAAATGTGCATATGTTGTCACATTTATCTTCAGCCCGATTGCGCCCCATTCGGGGTCCGCCCCCCCTTGCTGCAGCTTGTCCGGACCGTAGCTGACAAATACATCAACTGACAATCACATGTTTCACATCCTCGTGTTCGGACAACTCTCAGCTACAACATTATCCACTTCAATTTCAGTTCAACAGACCCAGGTTCAAACAACAAACCACAATCTGACAAATCGTCATAAAGCACATGTCGAAACAAATGTTTGCTTTGGCGTCACAAGCGCCCTCAAAACAATAAGTAGCCATGCTGTCAGCATACCATTAGAAAGCCCTCTCCGAGCTGAACACAATGATATTAGTCTGGTAACGCTAGCTCTAATACTCGCTGACCAAGCCGCAGACGAATGCCAGAAAACAAAGCCGTAAAACATCAGCGTTGAAGTAAAAGTCGACTTACTTTTGCTGTTTTTTCATCACAAGTCATTTCCATAGGAATAAAAGTCCGTTTTTTCTTGTATTCAACCTCATAGCGAGGCTTTCTAGCGACCTGGCAGATACCAGTTACTTCCTCCTTCTGTAAGAGGCCCTTTGTGATAGGCTGCACCCGTGCGTCATGTCACGTACCTCTGTGTATCTCTTCCTGTGATTGGCCACAGGTGCTGTCCATCAATACGTTTTCAATGGTTTTTGATAGCCGAAGGTGTGTTCTTTCCAAAATGGTATAACATGCCCTGATTGGCCAAAGTACCGCGGAGGCGTGTACATGCGTATAGTTGGGGCAGAAGGAGGCTGTGCGCAATGCCTTTACGCACGGCAGGTACTCGGAATTTTGACGAAATTAAAAATGGCAAAACAGCGTTATACACGCGAGGAGGTTGTAGAGCTTCTTGCTAGGGAACCGGGTGCCAAAGTTTATCTCGATGACTCTACAGACATGTTTGTGCCATTTGGCACAATTTTGGCACAGTTGGATTCCGCCTGGACTTTTTTTCCAATTCCATGTACAACTCTGCAGTGGTTTGTTTATTTGGCACAATTTTTGCTGGACTGGTCCAAAATATCGGGAACTGTCAATTTTAGTTCTTATTTGCTACACCACAGACAGGGAAAAAGCTTTTTTGAGGGAAAATATGTGTTTTTTTTTTAGGCGGAAGTTAGAATTGTCTGTTTCAACCTAATTTTATTGGCAACCAATACAATTTATCATCTTTTTTCACTTCCACAGCAATCCCCAAGGTCCACCAGGTAATTTGGTACCAAGTTTGGCCACATATCTGGCTAAATACTATATGAAACCTTAGTAAATGTAGATTATAGCTTTTTCGGGAAAAAAGGCCTCTGGGCTTAAGAGGTTAAGAGGAACCCAGGATGACGAGCCACATAGTATCTAGTCGCTCTCTGGTCTCTCTCAGAGAGAGCATCTCGCTCTCTCTGGTCTCGCTCTCTCGGGTCTCTCTAAGGCTGCCTGGTATTGGAAATTAGAGCGATATTTGATATGAGTGTTTAGTATTGCGATAACAATATTCTTGCAATATTTCTGTCTTTCAACTAAAATTGTAATCTGCATTGAAACGCAAGAGACAAATAACAAAAAATACATTTTTTGACCTTTAAATGCATATATTTATATACTTTATGTTTGTTGTCCTTGTTGAATGTTGATGTGTCTGTGTTTTGTTGTCTATAATAAAGGAAAAACATCATTTTGATATGGATATCACACGTTAGCCTGTCTCTCGCCAGACCCTTGTAGATCACTGCGCTTCTCACATGGGTCTGGGTCTGAGCCATAGCGGTTGGATTTCAGAAGGTGGGGCCTTGTAAAAAAATTCTTGTAGGTGATTGGATAAACCACTTGTCTATGGTCTCTCTCTCTCTATAGTCTCTCTCTCTCTCTGGTCTCTCTCTCTCTCTGGTCTCTCTCTCTTTGGTCTCTCTCTCTCTGGTCTCTCTCTCTTTGGTCTCTCTCTCTCTGGTCTCTCTCTCTTTGGTCTCTCTCTCTTTGGTCTCTCTCTCTTTGGTCTCTCTCTCTTTGGTCTCTCTCTCTTTGGTTTCTCTCTCTTTGGTCTCTCTCTCTTTGGTCTCTCTCTCTCTCTGGTCTCTCTCTCAAATAAAAAATAATACCATGTCAGGACATAGAATATTACTATTTGTTAGCTTTACTTCCCATCACAGTTTAAAGATTATTTTCCAGCTTTAAAAAGTCAATATTTAACCTGTGGCTTTAACCTGTTAGTTCTCAGTAACAGATCTCCAGGACCAAACACTCACACCATGAGTGAGGCTCCTATTGGTTGGTTCATGTTCTAGAATTCTCTTTCAGTATTTTAGCAGCTGCTGAGTCAAGTTTATGGGAAAGAAACAACTTTTTAAAGATAGGTTGGAAAATAAAATGTCCAAATGTCAAGAGTCTCCAACCTACAGCTCTGGATCTGCTCTGGAACAGCTTTGTTTCAGCGATTTACTTTATGCAAGCCTCACTTCTCTGCAGAAACACTCGAGTCTGACAAGGATTAATGAGCGGAAAGAGAAAAAGTCCTCTGCTGGTCACAGCTCTCAGGAACGACCTAGCCCCGGTGATCCAAGATGGCGCCCTATTCAAATGGGAGCGGAGAGATTAGCGGAGCTCGCCTATATATAGGTATCGTCTGGTCCTCCCGGTTCTGCGCAGTGGACAATCTCCCATGATGCTTCGCACCAAATGCCAAATACGCGTGTGTGGCTCTCATGCACATGCACAGAGGGGCTCGGCCGCGCTTTGACCAATCAGAGCTGCTGATCAGAGCGGAGAATGACAAGGAACACAAAAAATCACACAAAAACATCTCTCTCAGGTCTATCTCTCTCTCAGGTCTATCTCTCTCTCAGGTCTATCTCTCTCCGGTCTATCTCTCTCCAGGTCTATCTCTCTCTCCGGTCTATCTCTCTCAGGTCTATCTCTCTCCGGTCTATCTCTCTCTCAGGTCTATCTCTCTCTCCGGTCTATCTCTCTCTCCGGTCTATCTCTCTCCGGTCTATCTCTCTCCGGTCTATCTCTCTGGCGTAATGATTCAGCACCATTTTTTTTACCACATAACACACCATCTATAATACATTTAAAACCTGTGTGTTTTGAGACTGGTTTCTAAAAATACCCAGGATTTGACCTATTTTCTCCACAAGACAGTTATACTGGAAAAGACTATCACATGATCATATTCCGCATCTCTAAAGAATTGTAAGAATTCTCTCCCTCTCTGGTCTCACTCTCCTTCTCGGGTCTCGCTCTCTCCCTCTCGGGTCTCGCTCTCTCCCTCTCGGGTCTCGCTCCCTCCCAGATATCGCTCTCTCCCTCCTAGGTCTCGCTCTCTCCCACTCGGGTCTCGCTTGCTCTCTCTCTGGTCTGTCTCTCTCTCTCTCTGGTCTGTCTCTCTCTCTCTGGTCTGTCTCTCTCTCTCTGGTCTGTCTCTCTCTCTCTGGTCTGTCTCTCTCTCTGGTCTGTCTCTCCAGTCTCTGAGATGATGTCTCACCAGAGAGAGAGACCAGCTCTGTCATATTTTTTCAAGTCAATGGTTTCTCATGTTGTTTCTCCGACTCCTGTTCTAGTTTTTATCACACACCATTTCATGACACTTGTGATTCAGAAATCTAGAGCAAACAGACAGACGCGCTAACCGTCGTACTGCCCCCAACACACTCTCTGCTCTATTTTTATCCTCACAACCCAAGGGTGGAAGCAGATTGCAGCTAATCTGAGAGAAACGAGTTTAAATTATAGATGATGAGAGAACTGTGTCATCCAGGAGGCAGCGAACGCCACACGATGCATTCACAGACGACTGTACTGTGAGAGAAGAACAACTGCAGCAGGGACTGGGTTTCAGATTCAGATTCACACTTCTTTATCCCACCAGGGGAAATTCATTTGAGCAGCATAGATTAAACACACATGCAAAAACAAGGAAAACAGACATGTGCAAAATGAATACAAACATACACAAAACCAAAGTAGAGAACAGAGAGAGAGAGAGCAGTGAGAGAATAGAGAGAGACCAGAGAGAGAGACCAGCGGGAGACCAGAGAGAGAGAGCAGAGGGAGACCAGAAAATGGTATTAAACTTTTCACTCTGAAAACCTGATTTTTTCTGTTACCTGAAGATTTCTGTGAGTCTCCGCGTCTTCGCTCCTCGAGAGCCTCTCCGTCGGTCTGAAGACCCACCACTGTGGCGGTGGACGGAGGCCTGCGCACAGGACACCAGAGCAACGTTTAAACACTGACTATTTGGAAGGAAATGCTAATTATTCCAAAGGCATCTATGGATCACTGAATATCCTCTTATCAGTGAACCATTTATCTTTTATAAAGGGACTTTAAAGAAACGTATATATTATTAATTTGGCTTTTACTTTGATATTTTTCAATGTAATTTATCTCTCAGTGCTAAAACTTTTTAGCGGTAACTGTTCTTATACTTTTACTTTCTTTTGAACTTGTGTTTTGTGTGTCTGCATGTGTGTGTGTGTGTGCGTGTATGAAAGGCTGGGAAGGGATTGGATTAATATACTTTTATTTTTCTTTCACACCACGTACAGATGAATGGTCAATATTGAGATTCTTCTTTAAACACACTGGATTCTATGCGTTTTGGTCAAAATACCTAAAAATACAGCAGACTATTGATTTCTCGCGATGGAGAAGTCGATAGTCTGGTGCCTCCAGAGCAGAGCGGCGCGTGGAGCCGTGGACTCAAACCCTGAGGGACATTAGTGGGATTTAAATCTGAAAAACTGAGTCAGTTCTGGCAGGACGGCGTCGGTGAATCATCTCTCGGTCACACTCAGACCCAGCCCTCTGTCTGCAGCGTTTAGCAGTTTTTACATTTTAGTGGATATGCAGCTCTAAAACAGGATCTACATGCAGCCTCAGTCCTGGATATACAGCCTCAGTCCTAGATCTACAGCCTCAGTCCTAGATCTACAGCCTCAGTTCTGGATATACAGCCTCAGTCCTAGATCTACAGCCTCAGTCCTGGATCTACAGCCTCAGTCCTGGATCTACAGCCTCAGTCCTAGATCTACAGCCTCAGTCCTAGATCTACAGCCTCAGTCCTGGATCTACAGCCTCAGTCCTACAACTAATTTACACAGGACGCGTTACAGCACGTCCGCGTTATACGCGCAGCAGACGCGCGTATAATTTTTCCATGTTAATCAATAGTTATATTTACACTACTAGTGTTATACGTGCGTATGACGGACGCTGCGCCTAATTTAGGATGGATTTCTTATTTGGTGCGCGCAGAGACCATGAGGACAAACACATGCATGTGATTTGTGTTGCGCTAAATCAGTCCTCTGGCCCGTACTGTCCTCTACACTGCTCCACAGACTACACAGGGAGAGCATCAGAAGCCGCAGACCTGCGCACACGGCCAGTGTACATACAGCCAAATAATGTTACGCGCCTATGCGCGCAGTCAACGCTTACGCGCTGTTAACGCCAACTGTGTAAATTCCCTGTTAGATCTACAGCCTCAGTCCTGGGTCTACAGCCTCAGTCCTGGGTCTACAGCCTCAGTCCTGGGTCTACAGCCTCAGTCCTGGGTCTACATCCTCAGTCCTGGGTCTACATAGGTTTGAATGTGATTTCTTACGTTTTAAAGCAGGGGTCTCCGGACATGAGCTGTGTGCAGATGATCACCTGAGGGAAAGTAAAACACTTTATAAGATACAGGGGCTTTCAAAAATAGAATTTATTTATTTATTTTATAAGTATAATTTAAGTAAAACCAGAAATATAAAAGACCAGCGAGAGCAGAGAGAGAGAGAGACCAGATAGAAAAAGAACAGCGAGAGACCAGAGAGCTTTCTCTTTTCCTTCCCTGCCCTCTCCATCTCTCTCTGCTCTCTCCTCCTGCCTGAGGCTCTTGGTCGTGTTGACAGTGACATGGGCCCCTGTTTGGGAAAGGCCACCTGTGTTTCCACAACAGCAGCTGTACCTTCAGGATGGAGTTGTCCTGTCGTGTGTTCTTGGTGTCGTAACCCTCCAAGAGACATCGCCGTGTGGTGTTTCCGGAGCCGGCGAATTCTGCCAGATTCAGATCTGCGAACCCCAGCTGTGGAGACAGAGTTTGTTTCTGTAATTCAACTCAAAGGGGAAACCAGTAAATGATACATACACACACGACTCACTAATATTCAGAGAGATTTCAATAGGGTTTTTACAGCATTGCGTCAATTATCAACATTAAAATCACGCCTGAGATGGGGTTGTCTCTCTCTGTGGGTTCACTCTCTGTGGGTTCACTCTCTGTGGGTTCACTCTCTGTGGGTTCACTCTCTGTGGGTTCACTCTCTGTGGGTTCACTCTCTGTGGGTATTTTTTCTTTGCATCTCTCTGCTCTCTCTCTCTCTCTCTCTCCCTCTCTCTGCTCTTACCCTCTGCTCTCAGGTTCAAAGCATTAGATTAGGAACATAGTCCGGGAATGATGATGATTAGAAAGACAACATTTGGTGATGCAGGTGCATGGATGTGTGAGTGAGTGGGAGGCTGGTTCCAGATCCAGGAAACAAACTTCACTCATTAACCACTCAAAGTTATCCCCCATGACTGCATTTTGGGCGTCACACCTGCTGTCAGCGCCGAGATCAAAGAGATTCTGATGAATAAGTTTATGCTTAAAATACTTCAAAGCCAGAAACAGCTGTGTCTTTTTAATGAGGGAATAAGAACGTACTGAAAAAGTTGCATTTACATAAGACTTGTGTACTGAAACAGTCTGAACAGTGCGTGACATCACAGGAGCTGCAGGCAGAGACTGTTAGCTGTGTTGGAGTGAGCTAGCTTACCTTTGCGTAGGCCTTCCCTCCTTTCAGCTCCTGCAAAAAAACAAAACTAAACGTTGGACAGTAATAAGAAGAGGGGGTTTCGTCAGGTTAAAGCTTGCCTTTCATTTATTATGAATTTGGATAAAAACCTGTTCATATTGAAAAGTGAAACAGACGAGAGGCGGAGTCCTGGTCGCTGTATAGAATACGCTTAAAGCTGCACTAACTGACTTTGGGATTTTGAAGCCGCGGACTCGCTGGCCTCGCTCTTTCTGCTCCCCTCCCCGCACCCACGAAGCTATCGCCCCCCACACACACCCACTGTTATTGACGGAGCTAGCGTCTCCCAATATGGATGAAACCATGGATATGGATTTGCACGTGGATGGTGTGACTATAGAACGATAGAACCGGGAAGCGCGGAGGAACGAGACTTTCTTTTGGATGGCTGTTTTGCTGTGTAAGCAGTAACCGGTGACGAAGACGAGAAAGTTTCAGGTTAGCTCCGCAGCTTGTTGTGCTAACTCAGCTGTCTGTGCTAACGGACCTGTGGCTTTCTCACGAAAGTGGGGGCTAGTGGTGCGCTGTGATTGGTCACAATCTGAGACCCGAAACACATTCTCTTCCTTGTTTCATCAAAACTTGATCTAAAATATAATGTCACGCCAGCACAAACCTGCGCTACTTTTTCTTCAAAAGGACGTATATCCCAATGCACTACATGGACATGGATAGCATTTTCATAATGAATACGAAAATAAAGTCAGTTAGTGCAGCTTTAAGTAGTAAATCTGCTGCTTTGGCACAATTACTACACAGACTGTCCAGAGTTTCCTCCAGAAGGGGGGATGGGGGGGATCAGTCCCCCCCTAGCCATGGCCCAAGGGGGGGATATCCCCCCCCTCAATTTTCTTACACATGCATGTATACAATTCTCATATCATAAAGTGCAAAAACATTATTTTCATTGGGATATATCTGATCTGGCTCGCTGTCTAACCTATAATCTAAAACATGATAGTAAAAAAATCACATACAAACACCAAATCAGAAACTTCCGTACAGGAAAAATGTGTTATTCTTTATTCTGAATCGGAGTCTCCTCAGCTGAATAGCAATTCTCTTTTCGCGGTCTTGCAGATTTATTTGTAGCATGATTTTCACTGTATATGAACTTGCATTGTTCATCTTGATTGGCTACGGAAGAACCAGCGTAATGTGTTCTGCGTCCTGATTGGCTAAGGGGTAATCTCTGTGCCGTGTTTCCTGTACATCACAGCATTCACACTGACAAATGTAAATCCATGTCTGATTGCTAGCAGTGTGACTGTAAGTGTTGTATGCTAATTTTCTCCTTGACAAAACCATGGACTAAACCCACAACATGGTTAGTGCTAAAAAGTTGAACTTCTGAACATGTTGCAACGACGACAGCAAAGAGGAGCACGGTGCGGAACCCAGGCCATTGACGAGGGACTTTCATGCAGCACTAAGCCCATTTCTTTCAAAAAAAATTACAATTTTGAGTTCAAGATTTAAAAAGGCTATACCTTTAAAGTAGTTTGAGATGAAGGCATATTGTAAATGAGAAATATCTTCAGTATGAACCAAACTTTGGGATGGATGTTGATTCGTCACAGGAAATACTTGGTTCAGATAGGAAACTGTGTCTCAGATCATATGGCTCTGACCCGCGGAGTGCCACAGGGGTCAATTCTGGGGTTCTCTTCTGTTCAATATTTACATGCTGCCGTTAGGTCAGTTAATACGCTCCAACAATGTATCCTACCACAATTACGCTGATGACACTCAAATGTATGTCTCACTTACTGCAGGAGAACATGGACCAGTGGACTCACTCCTTCACTGTACTCAACAGATTAGTGATTGGATGCAAAATAACTTCCTTCAGCTAAACGCAGACAAAACAGAATTGATTGTCTTTGGTCCTCAGAAACAAAGAGAGAGCGTTATTCGTCACCTCCAGTCTCTCTCCCTGGAACCTGTAGGCAAGGTCAGAAACCTATGAGTTATAATGGACTCAGACTTAAATTTTAACAGTCATATCAAATCAGTAACATCAGCAGCATTTTACCATCTGAAAAACATTGCCAAAATTAGAAACATAGTGTCTAAATCAGATCTGGAGATTCTCATCCATGCATTTGTCTCCAGTAGGTTAGACTACTGCAATGGCCTGCTCACAGGTCTGTCCAAACAGGCTGTAAAACAACTGCAGTATGTCCAAAATGCTGCAGCTCGAGTCCTGACCAGGACCAGGAAATATGACCACATTAGTCCAGTTCTCAGGTCTCTGCACTGGCTTCCTGTGGCTCAGAGAATAGACTTCAAAGCAGCACTGCTTGTGTACAAGTCTCTCCATGGCCTCGCACCAAAGTACTTAAGCGACTTGTTAGTGCCATATGAACCGGCCCGGACTCTGAGGAGCACAGGAGGTAGCCTCTTACTGGTTCCAAGAGTCAAAACTAAACATGGGGAGGCAGCGTTTGAGATTTATGGAGCTAAAATCTGGAACAATCTTCCTGAAGATGTGAGGCTAGCATCTACTCTGGCAATTTTCAAATCAGGGTTAAAAACTGTTCTTTTTAGCTGTGCATACGGCTGAAGGATTTTATTGATACATACTCTTTTTTTTAATGCATTGTGGTTATTTATTATTTTAATCCCGTGTGTGCTTTTAATGTTTTATGGTTTTTTTCATTACTTGTGATTTTATTCTGTTTTTAATGTATTTATTGTTTGTATATGTAGTTGTTGATGTTTCTGATTTGTCTGATATTATGTGGGTTGTGAGGCGCTTTGAGTGGCCTTGTGTTGGAAAGGCGCCATACAAATAAAGTTGATTGAGTTGATTGATCTAATTTGCATACTGTGACGTCATCAAGGTGGTGGCCATTTTGGAAAATGTTTATTGTATAAAGATTTCAAAAAGCTGTAGTTTGAGAGTGTATTTTGAGCTCTGGAAATACTGTCAACAGTCAATGTGAAATATCTTTAGTATGAAAACACAATGTGGGATAGGAATGAATTCACTGATCAAATTTATATAGAATATTTTAGCACTGGTCCACGGCCATATGTGGTATTAGACCTTCAATGATCAAGATGGCACTGCTTATAGTTTACAGTCATGAAATCTGCAGTTTGGTTTCAATATTACCCTTTCAAAAGACCTGGTGGCATACAGTTTATCTCAGTGGAAATGAGGCTCCAGAATTCATCGTTTAGAAACAGAGCGATTAAATGAATGGGCTCAGAACTTGTCAGATTGTCTCAACAATAAACAACAGGCTTTTCAACACTTCTGATCCACTTTTATGGATTTTCTTCCTCTCTGCCTTCATCATCATCATTGCCGTCCGTAAAGGCAGATTCGTGGTGTGTTTTCTTCCGCGGCTTCTGCCACGTCTGCCGCGTTCCCCGCGGTTGTTTATTCCCGCTTCATTCACCCACATGCCCGGTGTTATGACCCCCCTGTCCCCTTCACCACGTCCCCTGCCTGCCGTTCGCAGAATGTTTCCACTGCGGCCACACACCGCGGTAAAGAGGCCCGGGTTTTCGGGGTCAGCGGTAAAGAGGTCCGCACATTAAAAGCGGGTGGCCGCTTTATGTTAAAACGTGCATTGTGGCGTCTTCTCTTTCCAATGTTACCGTGAGTAACAGCATAAAGCGGCTATCCGCTTTTAATGTGCGGACCGCTTTACCGCTGACTCCGAAAAGTCGGACCTCTTTACCACGGGGCCACACGGAGGACGTAAACTGTGGGTGACTGTGGACTATTATGACGCGGACTCCTGTCACTAATAATGTCTGTGTCTGCTTCACTGGACACCTGCGTGTCTTCCTCCTCTGAATCTGAGTGAGCCAGTACCAAATACTTCTCTGATCTCTGTAGACCTCTGGCTCTGCTCAGAACTACGGCTCCTGCTTCGCGTCGCTGCGCCGCAGGTGTTTTACAAACTCATTTTACTCTAATACTTTGAATATAACCATTCCCACAAAGGCCGCTCATATTAAAGGCACACATGTCCACTAACTCCTCGTGAAAAATATTAACAAAAATTACTGCAATAAACGTGTAATTTTTTTTTTCTGGGGTACCTTGGTCCCCCACTCAAACAAATTCCTGGCGGAAACACTGCTGTCTATATGTTAATGCCTCAAAAGGTTATTTTAATCTGATAAAGGTGTAAAGAAGCCTCTGGGTGTGGTCAGTCTGATGATCTGTGGGGTCTAAACATGTGCTGATTCAACAGAACTAGCTTGATTCAACTTTTGACTTATCATTAAAACCTTTCAAGCCTCAAAGACATTATTGAAAACTGAAATTGTCAAAGTGAGATTATTCCACAGCCTTAAGCAGAACACACAGTGCTCACGGAGCCATGGACATGTGTTGAAATGACAGAGGTACCTTGCGGACAGACACGCGGCACAGACACGGGTCCAGGACACCGGTCCCAGCGTTGGCGCTCATCTTACAGGGGAAAGAGAACCTCCTCCTCCAGCGGACACAGTTGGCCTGCACCTGCTCCCTGCAACACAACACAATGCGACATCACAAACATCTGATCTGACCCTACAGCAAGATTCAGGAACCCATTCTCAACCCACAGTCCATACAATAAAGATGCTTCCAAGTGATAATCAGAATCAAGATTTTGAATTTGACCAAACTCATTTACCGACCCTATATGTTGTACTCTATTTGGATTGATTTATTTTGGGTGATTTTCCTTTGATTAATAACAGATATTAGAGAAAGAAATCAGAGAGAGATCAGAAAGAAACCAGAGAGAAATCAGAGAGAAACCAGGGAGAGACCAGAGAGAGATCAGAAAGAAACCAGAGAGAAATCAGAGAGAAACCAGAGAGAAACCAGGGAGAGACCAGAGAGAGACCAGAGAGAAACCTTGGAGAGACCAGAGAGAAACCAGAGAGAAACCTTGGAGAGACCAGAGAGAGACCAGAGAGAAACCAGAGAGAAACCTTGGAGAGACCAGAGAGAAACCAGAGAGAAACCTTGGAGAGACCAGAGAGAGACCAGAGAGAGACCAGAGAGAAATCTGGGAGAGACCAGAGAGAAACCAGAGAGAAACCTGGGAGAGACCAGAGAGAGACCAGAGAGAGACCAGAGAGAGAAACCAGATAGATAAGAGACACCAGAAGGAGACCCCAGACGTAGAGCTAAGATGGGGCAAGACCGAGCCGATTTGGTGCACTTAAGTATGGATTTATAGAAAAACTATTTATTTTAAAAAGAACAAAAAGTTTGGAACAGGAAAGGACACTAAGACAATCCAGACTAAAAACATTTCTGTTTTGCTGCAACAACTAAAGGATTTTTAATGCACTGTATTTGATTATGTTTTAATGTCTTGTGTGACCGTTCCTATATTTTATGGTCAAGAGTCGCCTTGTCTATGAGCTGTGCAATACAAACAAACTTATGAAAATACAAAATGTTCTCCAGGAGTGTATTGTTTTGGTCAAATGTATACAAAATTCCATAGTCACTAAGATTTATGAATTCAAACAACTGCTCGATAGCATATGAATTGTTGCTGGAGGTACATAAGAATTGCACTGCATACTGTATACTGTATGTGACAATAACAATAATAATAATAATAATAATAAACTAAACAATAGATACCGCTTCACTTGTATCTCTCTGATCTGCTGAAGGCTTGTGTGTTGGCTACAGTCTGTATTCAGGGCTTTTTGGTTGAGTCGAAGAACTGTTTTTCTCCCAAAAGCTCATTTCATTAACTGTTGCGTAACGTTATCCCTGAGGATGAAGCTAAACACAAAAAATACTGCACACATGTTGCTGCTCTACGGCTTTGTGCACAAGTTATAATCCATGGGTTTCAGATTCATAATGGTTTAATGACATTACAGATATTGCCTTAACGTTACGAGTCAAACGAGAAAGAGAAAGAGAGGTGGCAGAGTCAGAAAGGCACAGATGGCCTCCCTCACACTCCTCCTCCGCCTCCGTCTGCCACTCACTAAACTCAACCAATTCTGCAGAAAACTCTGAAGCAAACCAGGGGAGTGACTATGAACGGTGAGGGTGGCTCTCTGGTCTCTCTTCTGATCTCTGGTCTCCCTCTTCTCTCTGGTCTCTCTCTGGTCTCTCTCTGCTCTTGGTGGTTGGTATCATTGGTGGTTGGTATTATCTGATGTCTCTCTACATGTCTCTCCGGTTAGTGATTCACATGAATATTTCCATATCTCTAAGGAAGTGAAAAGATAGATAAGAGAGAGAGAGAGAGAGACCAACAAGAGAGACCAAAGAGAGAGACCAGAGAGAGGGACCAGAGAGAGAGAGAGACCAAAGAGAGAATGATCAGTTATTAAATCAAACTCCCACAGCACTGAATTAAGCTGGAGCCTCATGGACGAAACAGAGGCACATTCACAGTCACAGTAAAAGTAAAGTCTGTGATTCAGGAAAAGGGAATGGCTTTAAACACCTGTGTGTGTGTGAACAGGATGTGAGCTCCAGGCCTGACAGGGATTAGCTCACAGGGAAACTATTGCAACACACAAGTCATCAAATATTAACTGTATTGTTCACTTAGTCCCAGCATCATTCTCTGCACATTTCTCTAGTCTTCCTCTACTGTATATTCAATAACTGCCTATAGCCTACATGTATTTACCAAAACCACTATTGATTGAATTAAACTATAATTTTCCTTTATTGCATACAAACAGCTGGTCTCATGGGCTTGTATCACAATGAGGGTGTTTTTCTGATCATTCAACGCCCACTCTTCCTGTCACTGTGAGGCCTCGGTCCTGGATCTACAGCCTCAGTCCTGGGTCTACAGCCTCAGTCCTGGGTCTACAGCCTCAGTCCTGGGTCTACAGCCTCAGTCCTGGGTCTACAGCCTCAGTCCTGGGTCTACAGCCTCAGTCCTGGGTCTACAGCCTCAGTCCTGGGTCTACAGCCTCAGTCCTGGGTCTACAGCCTCGGTCCTGGGTCTACAGCCTCAGTCCTGGGTCTACAGCCTCGGTCCTGGGTCTACAGCCTCGGTCCCGGGTCTCCAGCCTCGGTCCCGGGTCTCCAGCCTCGGTCCCGGGTCTCCAGCCTCGGTCCCGGGTCTACAGCCTCGGTCCCGGGTCTACAGCCTCGGTCCCGGGTCTACAGCCTCGGTCCCGGGTCTACAGCCTCAGTCCCGGGTCTACAGCCTCAGTCCTGGGTCTACAGCCTCAGTCCTGGGTCTACAGCCTCAGTCCTGGGTCTACAGCCTCAGTCCTGGGTCTCCAGCCTCAGTCCTGGGTCTCCAGCCTCTGTCCTGGGTCTACAGCCTCGGTCCCGGGTCTACAGCCTCGGTCCCGGGTCTACAGCCTCGGTCCCGGGTCTACAGCCTCGGTCCCGGGTCTACAGCCTCGGTCCCGGGTCTACAGCCTCGGTCCCGGGTCTACAGCCTCAGTCCTGGGTCTACAGCCTCGGTCCTGGGTCTACAGCCTCAGTCCTGGGTCTACAGCCTCAGTCCTGGGTCTACAGCCTCAGTCCTGGGTCTCCAGCCTCAGTCCCGGGTCTCCAGCCTCGGTCCCGGGTCTCCAGCCTCGGTCCCGGGTCTCCAGCCTCGGTCCCGGGTCTACAGCCTCGGTCCTGGGTCTACAGCCTCGGTCCTGGGTCTACAGCCTCAGTCCTGGATCTACAGCCTCAGTCCTGCAGCTACAGCCTCAGTCCTGGATCTACAGCCTCAGTCCTGCATCTACAGCCTCAGTCCTGCATCTACAGCCTCAGTCCTGGATCTACAGCCTCAGTCCTGGATCTACAGCCTCAGTCCTGCATCTACAGCCTCAGTCCTGGATCTACAGCCTCAGTCCTGCATCTACAGCCTCAGTCCTGCATCTGCAGCCTCAGTCCTGGATCTACAGCCTAAGTCCTGGATCTACAGACACCTTGAGGTTTGACGACGTCCGACCCTTTGGTAAAAACCACTCAACCCCGCCATCTTTAAAACCGGCTGCTCTGCTTCAATACGTCCTCCCATGGATCTATTATAATAACGTACTCCTCACTCCGGAGAAATGGAATCGCACAGAAAACCCCAAAAGTCAGCGTCCTGGTCGGTCGATGAGGTCCACATGTTACTCTCTTTAGGCCAAAGAAAAATTCAAAGGCAGCTCGAGGCTCAACCCGGAACGAGGTTTTCAGGGAGATCGCCCAGCTCTTGATTTGTGACTAGTCTGTGGTAAACTTGGAAATAACTGGTTAGCTACTTATTCCGTTGGCCCAAAGCTCTCACTGAAATGTATTTACTCGTGTAAAAGTTTCCCCCACTAGATTTTTTGAGTCATTCCTTGCCGACAAACGAAACCTGAGCTAAGAGTTTACTTTTACATGTAAGTCAATAGGAGCAAAACATAACCATGAACACGTCCCTGTGGGTTTCATTGAGCTAGCAAGTTAGCATTGTCAATCTTTATACAGTCTATAGTTTTAGGTCATTAGTGACGTACAGTAATACAGTCTCATAATCTAATCTAATCCAGACCAAAAGCCTCGCCCTCTAAATCTACTTAAAGAGAAAACAGAAGAATCAGAAATGAAACACAGCATTTTATTCTCCATTAGTCTGTGAGGACGACATGAATTATGAAGTGAAAAGACACAGTTCAAACATGGACCAAAGCCAATCAGTGCTCTTACATAACAGACATGTGGAAATAATGAGACAGGCTGTAAGTGACGAATCAGAACTCAGAAGTCATACCAGTTCTCTGCAGCTGCTCTGGTTATGGGTCTGGGTCTGGCTCTGGCTCTGGCTATGGGTCTGTGTCTGGCTCTGGCTATGGGTCTGGCTCTGAGTCCGAGTTAGGGTCTGGCTCTGGCTTGGTCTTTGGGTCTGGGTTTGTACTTGGGTCGGGCTCTGGCTATGGGTCTGTGTCTGGCTCTGGCTATGGGGCTGGGGCTGGGGCTGGGGCTGGGGCTGGGTCTGGGGCTGGGGCTGGGTCTGGGTCTGGGGCTGGGTCTGAGTCCGAGTTTGGGTCTGGCTCTGGCTTTGTCTTTGGGTCTGGGTTTGCGTTTGGGTCTGGGGCTGGGTCTGGCTTGGAGAAAAAAATGGAGAGGCAGATCCTGCTGCTGTCAGACTGTACTACGAGAACTGCTGAGCCTGTACATGTCATTCATCTGTAAATACTGCAATTATGTGCAATACTGTAATTTCAGAATGTCCACTGGACATCGGCTTTTATCTAATTTATTCATTCTGCTCATATTGCACAAACTAAAACATATATATTATAATATATTCCTGGTCTCAGGTGTCTGGCTCCCTGTGGCTCAGAGAATAGATTTTAAAGCAACTCTGACTCTGAGGAGCACAGGGACTGGCCTCCTGCTGGGACTCTGAGGAGCACAAGGACTGGTCAGGACTAATGGGGAGACAGCTTTTCAGATTAATGCACCAAAAATCTTCCTGAAAATGTGAGACAGGCTGTGTTGGGATTTGCACCGGTTCACCCTGGGGGCTGACTTTGAGTGTGACCTGGAAGTGACTTCACAGCC